TCACTTGATGTCGACGTGAAGTGCCCCACACATGTGGTATTGCCTCTAAATCAGTGCAGCGATCAACTCTTAGTTTTGGAATCAGATGGACTTCGACTAAACAACTCGTTCAAACCAATGAGTCAAGTGGATGATGTGTTTCAGAAGAATTGTGTGGATAACGATTATGGATACGGTAAGTTTTCCTAGAGATAAATGAGCCTACTACAAGTATCTTAGTTTAGATGCATCTGTTGACTGCCTCTTGGATTGTTTGAAAACCGTATTGTTAGAAGTACGAGCTTATGAAGGACGTCGAATTGACATGCCATTGAGAAAGGACGACAAGGTGAGCGTTCATAACGAGCGCATACTGGATCGCACTTACTTTGCGTGGCTTCTTTAGACCGCGCGCATATTGGGACGTGGAGTCTTCGATTCCACTGACATAGTGACTTCGACCGAGTCTGTATTCAGTCGTCGTTTCGATCTAACTGTAGATGTCTTCCGGAATCTTGATGGTGTTCGTTCGCACAACGGTATATTTTGATCTTGTGCTGCATACGTTTCTGTTTAGTGCCGAATTTCCCTCTTTCAACTATCGTTGGGTTTCTTCCTTCCCTCAGTCACTCAACTTTAAAAAAAGCAGATGTTTTTCAGCACCAGACTTGACTGTTTTGACTAGTATCAGCAAACTAACGTGGCGCATGACATCAGACTTCTATATTTTGTTTCGTGGTGTGCTTGAGAAGAACTTTGGTGACACACTCATTCCAATCCCAGAGACCATACCGATGGAAATTTTGCAAAGGCCAACCACGGGATGTGTATGTTGCTAATCTGGTTTTCGCTGTTCTTTAGGAGTACTCCAAAGAAATGTAGAAGGTATTTCAGGAAGTGGGCTCCGATTTCAAATACGCTACCCTCTCGTTTCGTCTGCTTCTAAGTGAAGTGGAGCTAGACTGCCGGGTGAGTAAGAACTATAAAAAAGAACTGGGGTTGTAGAATTTTAGGGATTTGCATATTTTCTGTTCGCGCAAAATTATCAGTGATGTGCCATGCCTCATGTTATAGGTAATTGGCTGTAGGGAATATAATTTTTTGAAGGCATAGTGCATGTAGAATACTATAAAGTTTTTTTAAGCCATTTATCTCAATTTCATATCGAGAAGGAATCATAGTGCTTCATAGTTCAAAGTTTAGGTTACTTTTGTAGTTTAGTTTCAGGAATTAAAATTAATAAAAGAATTCAAACTTGGCAGATCCTTATCTTACTGTTACTTTGCTAATCCCACAGAGACTCTCATATTTGACGCAGTCTTTTCAAGTAAAAAGATATAGAATTGGATTTTTTTT